GGTCGGGCAATAGCACACACGGATTTGTGTTGGGTTCTCAACCGTTTTATTGAAGGGAAGGGTCATAAAGGGGCACATGAAATTGGAACGGAGTCGCGGTGAAGCTTTGCAACAACAAAGGGCTTTGTACTATACCTCAAAAGGTCCACTGGGGAGGACATGCTGCTTGGAATATGGCATCAGATTTGTCCTCATTTCCACCACCCGGACATAATTTTCTTTCAAAGGAGCACGCAGTTTTAATACATCTTTCGGTACCATCTGTTTGAGACATTGCAGGATCTTGAGACGAGTGGCCAATTTGCAAGTCAATAGTGAATGCTATTCTGAGAGCAGGACGCTGTCAATGCAGGGAGAGATCAGGTATTGTAGCCCAAAAGAGCCTTTTCTCCGCTTGCGCATCCTCTCGCCTTTGGGCATGATGCCCTAGACGCCAGAACTTGTCATGGTAGCGTCAGGGATGCTCCACAATGATCGCGCCAAAGCAAAGCAGCCAAACAAAAAAATCCAAGAGCAGTTCTCCTCATTCTCTGATCTCTCCAGTCGCTGGGTACAACCCTGTGTTCGAAGGCGTGGCTTGTCAGACCTCCGTATTCTTCGGTCGCTGTGACGACGGTAAAGTGTCTGCCGTGGCCCTCGCAGCAGAAGAGGCACGCGTTACAAAAGCTGTTCCTTCTTCAGCCCTCCTCAGTCATACAGCACCCTTTCACTCCTCTTTCCGCCGATGTGGTGCGTCATAACCGAGCTACTAGGGGGCTGGATTCTCCTTGACGATCTGCCTGACTTTGCGCTCGTATGCCGCCTTGTCCTTCTTGAACAGATTAAATGCGTCGGCTTGCGCCGGCGACTCTGGGTTGGGTTCGTCGAGCAGCGACTGAATACCCAGCAGGATCTCTTTGATATTTATCGCGGGCTTCCAGCCTTCTTCTTCGTTGAGGATGGAGAGGCAGACGGTGCCAGAGGGGTAAACGTTGGGGTGGAATAGTGGCGGCACGAATTTACCTGTGAGATGATACGTTAGCCGTGAGCGTTCAGCATATCGGGGCACCTGCGATTCTGCGGCTGAGTGCCTCGGGCATAAGAGGGGGAAACGTACACTTTGGCGGCTTTGTTGGGTATTCATCTGGGAAGGTGACTTCTAGCTTGAACAAGCCGCCTTCCCAGATGGTCTTTTCCTTGCCTGGTACACCGCAATCCCACTTTTTGAGGTCCATCATACCGTTGGCGCCACGCATTGGCTTTGCGAAAAAGCCAAAGGGATGATCCCGTCGCCATGACTTTCTGGTGCGCTGTTAGTAAGTAAACAAGAGGCGGGTACGGATAGTTGCTTACCTCTCTTCTGAGAGCCGATTGATGCAGAGAGACATCGCAGGTGCAAGTGTGAGGCTGGAGTTTGCGCTTGAGCTGTCCTCTATCGGGATCTATTTCGGGCGTTGACAAAGAAGTTGGTGTGTTTTCAACGTGAGTGGTGAGCCGCCGATTGAAGAGTGTGCGGGCGTCGCAGTTATGTACAGGTGATAGCAGTGGTGAAGGTGAGCGAAAGCGGAACGAGACAAGGTGAAGTCGAGTTGCGGGCGCACGTGACGTGACAACAATTATCTCCCCCGGGGCGCGTCACAGCGTTGGGATTGTCGTCTCAGTGCTAGTCTAGATCCCGTTGGCAGCATTGGGAAGGTGCGATGGCCGATCTTGCCCCGCGCTAAACAGTGACCCCCGCTTATGTGAGTGAGGGTACATACCGCTGGGCCAACCGAGGCTGACGTTGCACATGCGTTTGGCTCAGGGCTCATGCGTATTCTTTACCCTTGCCTCTCCACCTTGTATTCCCTATCGTTCTTCACCTGACCGCCTGGAGCTGAGCGTGGGCAAGCATGGCGGACACAACTGTGAAGAAAGCAGAAGAGCCACAGCCGGCTAAAGCAACACCTGCCACCACGACCGCCCCTCCTCCACCCGAGGTTGCATCGGATCCCGAAGAAGACGACCTCTCTGACCTTGACGATGTACTGGATGAATTCGCAAACACCAAGCTCGATGCCAAAGCACCGACTGCCTCATCAATAGAAGCTGCGTACCCTAAATCTGACAAAGCGCCCTCATCCTCCGGACCTGGCAGGCCACCCGAAGATGTGGCGCCAGCGGACCTGTTGCTCGATGATCAAGAAGAGTTCCAGAAACAGTTGCAAAAAGAAATGGAGCAGCTCCTAGGACAGGGTGACTTCCAGAAGCAATTTGAAGAGATCATGAAGGAGATGAGTGAGGAGATGGGCGGCGCAAACCCTCTGGATGCTGGTGCGCATGTGCATAGCGAAGGACAAAAGGCTACGGGAGCACCTACTTCATCTGAAAAGGAGACTGCAGCGAAGGCTGAGAAGAGCTTCCAGGAGACCATCAAAAAGACCATGGAGCGCATGCAATCTTCGTCCGATACTGCCGCATCTGCCGCTGCATCCTCCTCACAAGATGATATTCTCGCGCAAATGCTTGCGTCCATGGAGTCCGGCGGCTTTGGAGGAGAGGGAGGCGACGAGGACTTCAGCAAAGTGCTCATGGGTATGATGGAGCAGCTTACGAACAAGGACATCTTGTACGAGCCAATGAAGGAGCTTGACGATAAGTTCCCAAAGTGGATGGAAGAGAACAAGACCAAAGTGGAGAAAGATGACTTGAAGAGATACGAGGAGCAGCAGACGTTAGTTCGAGAGATTGTGGGCAGGTTCGAGAGAAAGGGCTACAGTGATGACAACGCGCAAGATAGGGAATATATCGTTGAGAGGATGCAAAAGGTATGCTATCCCTTCCAGAATGCTTCTTTAATATATACTAATAATCTATAGATGCAAGCCGCTGGCTCGCCGCCGCCGGATCTAGTCGGCGACATGAATGCTGCTCAAGAAGCACTGCAGGATATGGACCAGGGTTGCCCAACACAGTAGCTTCTCCTTGTGTGGTCGCCTGTACGCTTCATTCTTCCCAGATACCCTTCCAGTATATAAATGATGCTTTCCCCGCCCATTATACCCCTGACGACGTATGACGAACCGTTTTGTGAATTATAGGTTGTGTAATCAGGAGAAGCTCAAAAATCCATCATATCCGTATCCATCGTATCCTCGTTTCCAAATCCATTATGCACCGTCTGCGATAGCTGCTGTGGCTGGCCGTCCTCGGCCATTGCACACTCCATGAATATCGAGTCGTAGTCTTCATCGTCGCTACCATAGTGATGTGGTTGCACATCCGGTTCTTGCTCTATGGACGCAATCAACTGTTGGAGCTCGTACTCCTCTTGGGCGGCGATATAATCGGCCTCGGTCATATCAGGATCAAATTGCGGCGCGTTGTTGAACATGGTGGGTAATTGCACGTCCTCGGAAGGGTCCTCGATGATGTCGTCATTCACAGGCGGTGCCTGACGCGCTTTCTCTGCTTCCCAGCGTTTGCGTTCTGTTACAAAATCGAGTTGTTGAATCTACGTCATCGATTAGTTTTTGGTTTCCCAGGAAGATCGTGTTAAAGCACATACCTGTTCGCCTCGTGACTCCCATTTCTTGTCATCGCGATTATTCTGCACCCGCTTGAAGAACATATCTCTTCGTCTCTTCGTAGCTGCATCGCGCGTTTGCATAACTGGGTTGGACTTGAATGTGCGCTGTGGAGTTGGTGATTGTTCCTTGATAGGCGAAGACATTGTGAAGTCGAAGATTTGAGGTTGCACGTTTCCGGAGCGCTCAGATAATGGTGACGAGCGTGGTGGCGTGTATGGAGAGCAATGCGCCATTTGATGGGAAAAGAAAGACGTTGTGAGAATCATCTTTTGGAGCGGCTTGTTGTACTCGTTGTATTCAGTTGGGTATGCAAATGGTAAAGTACGAACTGTAGAAGGTGACAATGTGGTTGTATGAGGGGTTCAGTGTGGATGTAGATGGGAGGCAAAGAAGGTGGAGCAGACGCGAAAGTACGCGCGACAGAGCCACGGTGGTCTGTGCACGCTATCGATAAGAAACACGCCTAATACTCTGCGGCGCGTCCAGGCTGCACAAGGATGCCACTAATTCCCATCAACGCGATTCAGATGAAAGAAGTCTGGACTACATCTTGCTACAACCCCAGGTCCAGCCCCTAGCATTTGCATCCACCATACCAATTTGTTGAGATCGGCATAAATATCTGCCATCTACTGCCATGGCTTCTGGGGGCATAAGAAATTGTTATGAAGCAGCATATGTACATGATGAATAGGCATCAAAAGTCATCGACAGGAACTAGTTTGATGATTGATAGAAGGGTGAGGCCCGAGTAGTTTTCACACTACATTTTTTGGAGGGTACGTGGCAGTCAGCATGCTAGTCTAGGTGTAAAAGGACAATACATCTGTCACAAATTCTGTTACTGGGGTCTCGCGTACCACACGCGCACACCCTGGATGCCGAAACATCTGCCGCATACGCAACTTACACACACATACATGCAGAGATGTTAGGAATATTTGCCATTGATTTTACTGACGTATGTATTGCTTATGGGCAGCATCTCGAACAATTGAACATGGTCCCCATTTGTCATGACGTCAGATCAGTCCTTCCAGGATCTACGGCACACCATTGCTTTACACGAGCCTATCACACAGCTTGCCACTGAAGAGCATCGGCATATGGAGATGCATGATAGGAGTTGTACATTGCTATGCTTACGCTATTTTCACCGATGTTGGACCCACCTGAAGTCCGCTAGTCCGCCACACTTCCCTCGACCAGACAGAATACGGCAATGCGCTAGTGCTTTGCAGTCTGCAGGCCCGCCATGCCGCTGGTCGAGATGGTTCGTTTGGCGTGGCGACATGCAAACTTGCAACTTCACGCCCCCACGATACCCAGCCAATCGCTAAACCAGGCCGCCTCTGCATCTACTCCAAACTTCAAAGGACGCAACATGGTCTTAGCGAAGCTTGTATTAGATGTTACCTGCCCCCTGTGCCGCATTGAAGCGCATCCATTATCATGAGCCAATCCCCAGCCAGTCGCGGGGCGACGAAGAAGAGCCGCTACGAGATGAAAAGAGAACGGGATGTGCGGCTTCACTATGGGGCCGCCTTCTGCAATATACCACGCGTTGACAACCTGGCCACTCATGTCCCCCACCCATCTCACGACTCGACTCTAACGGCTTTGTGTCAGCTGACCGCTATCCGCATGGGAGGCCAGAGGGCCATGATCTCGCTTCTGGAAGAGGAACGACAACATATCCTAGCGGAAGCTACTTGTGATTCCCCCCTCCATCCAGATACACCAAAGGACGAGCAGGATGCGCTGTGGGTTGGAAGTGTTAGCATTCCTCGTAATCTGGCATTATGCGAGAATGTGTTGGATCTTAGTCGTGAGGATAATGTCTTGGTTGTCAATGATCTTACGGCACATCAGAAAACTGACCTTCAGGGTGCTGTTTACAGCAACTCCGATGCACGTTTTTATGCTGGTATTGCACTCATTTCCCCAAACGACACAATAGTCGGGACGTTATGTATCTTCGACAACCAACCTCGGGACGGCCTGACAAGTGAGCAACTTGGTCTTTTCAAGGATATAGCATCAACAATTATCGGGTACTTGAACACATACACAATCAGGGATCAGTACAGCCGAGGAGAAAAATTTACGCGCGGCCTGATCTCCTTCGCCGAAGGTGCGACAGCTCTATTGCCTTTTGAGCACAACGAACAACAAAACCCATCATCAATACCTCAGGAATTTCCGGACCTAGCTTCGGAAACAAAAGAAAATCCTCTCTCTACACATGGCAGGGGAAGAACAGAAGCGGACGATCCATCACCAGACAATTCGCCTTCCCCGACCCATAAGGCAACTACCGCGAGGTCTGCAAGGCATCAAGCAATAGGGGCACTTCAAGACTCTATTCTGCCCATGGACTCAAAATCAATGTTCTCTCGTGCGGCGAATGTCATGATGGCCTCGAGTAATTTGGATGGGGTACTTATATTAGATGCAAGCGTTGCAGCAAACGGAGGCCAACAGCGCAGCAATACCACTTCTCGAACCAGGAGCAGCTTCGATTCTCTATCTGAATCTTATCAGTCAGCATCTTCTAGCGAGGGACCAAGTTCAAACAGCACAGAGGGCAACGCGTACAATGCATCTTCTTCAAACTCCAAAACATGTAAGGGTGATGTTCCATGACTTAGATGTAGAGTAGTAACTGACCATACCCGAAAACTTATAGGTCAGTTGCTTGGAGTTGCCACTTCTAATGACAAGAGGAAAGCAGCATATGGGTCGTTGTTGGAGTCTGATCTTGCGCGTATGCTCCACGAATATCCGCATGGTAAAATCTTCACTTTCACAGCCAGCGGCATATTTGTATCCTCAGACGAGACCACCTCGAGCCCTTATTTTACGGAGCAGTTACCCAGAATGGCTTCTTCCAAACGCCAGACAAAGAACTGGTCAAAGAGATGCTCGGAAGCTATCCAGTCAATGTTTCCTGAAGCAGCTAGCGTCGCGTTTGTTCCATTCTGGGACTTTGAGAGGTCACGGTGGTTTGCAGGCTGTTTGTGTTGGAGCAACAACCCATATCGCCTACTTTCTCCCTCTGTTGATTTGATTTATTTAAAGATTTTCAGCAATTCAATCATGAGGGAGTTGTCAAGACTGGATGCTATGGCTTTGGATCAGGTAAGATGAGACAGTTCGTATATGCTATATCAAGAGCTACGAGCCCATTCAACCAACTTAACATTACTATCTATCATGCATACAGCTCTCCTGACCATGCTTGACTAACAATTTTCTAGGCTAAATCAACATTTGTAGCCTCCATATCTCATGAGTTACGATCTCCTCTGCATGGAATATTAGGCACACTGGAATTCTTCAAGGACACGCCCCTGGATTCCTTTCAGGCCAGTATGCTTAATTCTTTGCATGGCTGCGGAACAACCCTTCTTGACACCATCAACCAAGTCATGGACTATGGCAAGATCAGTGAATCGAGAAACAGCATCTCTTCGAAACGAATAAAGAATGAAAATACCATAAGGCTGTCATGCAAACCAGTAAGGGGTAGAAGGAGGAAAGATCCCGCTTTCGATATTAGCATTGCGACAGAAGAAGCTGTAGAGGCTGTCTTCATAGGGTCGTCATACATCCCCGTCACCGCTAAATACATCGAGCAACTTCCATCAAGAACAGGGTATGAGTCGGCTCCTCTTCCAAAACGCAAGGTACGATTTGTCATACTTGATGTGGCATATGAAGACGATTGGATGTTCTCTTTTCCAATCGGATCATGGAGAAGGATAGTTATGAACTTGTTCGGAAATGCTGTCAAGTACACAGAGTCAGGCTGTAAGTCAAATATTTCTCAGTCCATCGATACTGTGGTAATCAATTGGATTGGTTTCAAAGATGTGCTGTGGCAACAGCATGAGCCGAAAATGTTCTCAGAGATTCGTACTGGTCAAGTGCCATATCAGCCCCATCCCGAAACGAACATTTGCTGTTTGGTTTTTTCCCTACTAAAAGATGTATTGCTAACGTGGGGTTTTGTAATTAGATGTGCACGTTTCTTTGCGTTCTAGCAAATCAGCAGAAAACAACAATGCACCTACAACGATTATACTTACAATAACCGACACGGGCTTGGGAATGACTCCATGTTTTCTTGCCAACCGAATATTTGAACCCTTTTCCCAAGAGAACTCACATTCGCCTGGTACCGGACTGGGCTTGAGTATAGTCCGACAAATTATCGACACGAGCGGCGGGAAGATTGAAGTCAGCAGCCAGCCGTCCATTGGCAGCAAAGTCACCGTTAAACTCGCACTTACTCAGCCGGAGTCCTCGGATATGTTGATGGCCGAGCATAGACGGTTTCAATCGACCCTAGCAAGATTGCAGGGTCACAGAATCTGCATACTTTCCAGGAAAACTAAAAAGTCTCCAGATGATGCCGATTACTCACAAGCTGAAGAAGGACTTGTACGCTTCACCAATGCGCTCGCTAACACCCTCGAAAAGCACCTGAAGATGGACGTTGTAATGTCTACCGATTCTGAATACAATGGTGCAGACATTGTCATTTGCCCAGAAGTTTCCTTCGATTATCTCAACATTATTCGTCGCCGTAGAACTCGCGATCAGCAAGCTCCTGTCATCATCTTTATCGGGATGGATGCACTTGAAGCAGCTACTCTTCGTTCAGACGTTCGTGTGACTTCCAAGCAGTCTGTAGTTGAGATCATAACTCAGCCGTGAGTATTATTCTTTTGGTGAGATCAGCTTTGACTAACTTGATCAGATGCGGGCCGCACAAATTGGCTTTTGTTCTTAATCGATGCTTGGATCGATACGACCGACCTGGCGATAATGTACAGCCTTCGAGGGCGGTCAGCCCCCTTCCCCAAACTGCAACCTATGGAGCTAAAGAGCTGGGCATTTCCATTCCGCCACCCAGCCCTGCTCAACTGAATGATAAACCATTGCAGGCCAGACCCGCAGAGAATGCTGCTAAGTCCCCAGCTACGACGCCTACACCACAGCCTGTACATGTCCCACATCAGGAAGAAGACTTGGCTGCATCCCATATACTCATCGTCGATGACAACATGTTGAACCGAAGAGTAAGTGTAACTCTCTGCACATAAGTGTAGTTCTGACGATATCAGTTACTTGTGGCATTCATGAACAAGAATGGTTTACAACACCAAGAAGCGTCAGACGGTCTTGAGGCATTGCGCAAGTACCAAGCGGACCCACACAAGTTCGAGGTGATACTCATGGGTAAGTAGCCTACCTGGCTTCAAGATCTATCTGCAGTGATGCTTATGATATGGCAGACATGTCGATGCCGGTCATGGACGGTATGGCGGCCACTCGGGCGATTCGCGAACACGAGCAAACCCACAATTTACCGCGCAGCTTCATTATCGCATTGACTGGCCTCGCATCCTCAAGCGCCAGGCTGGAAGCATGGAGCTCGGGCATCGACCACTACATCACCAAGCCTGTGAACTACAAGGAGCTTAGAGAACTTTTGAACAGCGAGAAATTGCGAAAGGATGGACGCCGGATATCTTCGGAAGTTCCTGAGAAAACAAGTGAAGAGGCTACGGAGAATATAGCTTGATTGCAAGCGACCGCGTCCTATACTGATTCGGAACAACAGCATTCAAGCCTTTGGTTCTTCAAGGATGGCTATTGTTGACATCCATATGCGCAGCGCTTTCGAAGGCACACATGTCCCATCGCAGTCACCTGTTGCACAACTCGCACAACTCGGGGATAGCGTACCCCATTCCATTCAATCGCCAGAGAGCAAAGTCCCAAAAGATTCATCTCCTTACACCTTGTTTTGAATCTCGCTGGACCGAAGATGCATAGCAAAGTATAAGCAACAGTTTCGTAAATAGAAGAATACGGTGCATCTGGCACGAATATATCAATCATCATATATACATATATCAACCTGCCTCTTGTAGCGTTCCAGGCACCTCCTTTCACGTATCCCATTTGTACCGTCCGTATCTTCTTACCAACGTCTAGTCTTTTGCACGATAGGGGGTCGGCGAATCTACTTATCGCTCCTTATCTTCTCTCGTCGATCAACTCAGCGTTGGGATTTTAGCTTTGTACTAATCGCCCACTAGCACTGGGCGATGTTGACCCCGCATGGACCCAGGTGAGCAGTTTTCCATTATGGCTGACCAACATATTAAGAATATGACAATTTGATTTCTGGTTTCTTTCATCAAAGCACTGATCGGGCTTGTGGTTTAGTGGTATAATACTCCCTTAGCATGGGAGTGGTCCGGGGTTCGATTCCCCGCGAGTCCATCTCTTTTTGCCAACGCTTCGGCTTTCCTCATCTTTTTTTTTGCCTCGTTAACCGTCATGAACTTTTTTTTTCGGTTAGCTTCAGGCTGTGTATGCACGTGTTTTTATGTACGCAGTAATCTGATGCCAAAAGAAAGATGTAAAAGTTATTAGTCCAGTTGGAGTGAACAGACATTTTGGTCGCTTGGTTTAGTTTTAATAGGTGTTAGGAAGGGACAGAATATATTCATTGCCATATATTGGTGTTTATCAGGAAAAAAGAAAATATTTTCATGTACAGAGTCTACATCTACTGCACAGCAACCTTGTTCCATTTCAGACCGTCAGTCAAACTGCCCATCCTCGCATCCCAATTATCCACATAGTAGTTATCCCTTGGTTTCCAGGGCCCCGTATTCGCACACTGGGGCATCTTTCTCGCGTTGGCCTGGATATACGTGCTGTTAAGCGGCGAGGCGGACATGGACTTCTCCTTCTCTGCGTCGGTGATGACGGGCACAACGCTGGTGTATCCGTTATCGCGCTGGTGCCTGATGAGGCGAACGTAGAGGCGCGATGCGGCGTCTGAGCCGAGGGTCCAGGAGGCGTTCCAGTAGCCGATGATGTTGCCGAAGTTGGGGAGGGAGGTGAATAGGCTTGCGCGCCACATGTATTGGGCGCCGAGATCGACGTGTTCGCCGTCGACGGTTGTTTGCATGCCGCCGAGGAAGTTGAGGTTAAGACCTGTGGCGGTGATGATGATGTCTGCGTCGAGGCTTGCGCCGCTGTTGAGCTCGATGCCGGTGGCGGTGACGGTCTTGATGGTGTCGGTTACGATGTGGGCTTTGCCGGAGCGGAAGGCTTTGAAATAGTCGCCGTCAGGGCAGAGACACATGCGCTGTTGCCAGGGCCCGTAGCTAGGCTTGAAGTGTGGGTCGATGGGGAAGTCGGGTGGGAGCTGGCGGGCTGCTTGTTTGATGATGAAATTTCCAGCGGCGGATGGGAACCACATGCAGAATTTGTAGAGGAGGATGGGGACGAGCGTGAACATGAAGCCTGGGTGGGTTAGCACTTGGGCATGCGGCGGAGGGGGAAATTGGTGACGTACGCTTGTAGCGGAGAGTAAACCACTCGGGAGCATACTTCTCAATCCACGATTTCCTCTTTTGACCTATGCTCATAATGTAGCTAGGGCTTCGTTGCAGCTGTGTAACGCTTGCAGCCCCACCATCAACCAATGCAGGCAAAAGGGTAATAGTTGTTGCACCGGATCCAATAATAACAACCTTCTTGTCCTTGTAGTTGAGATTCTCTGGCCAGAACTGTGGGTGTATTCTCTGTCCCTGGAAATTGTCGATGCCTGGTATGTCTGCCTTTAGAGGTTCGTCGTAGTTATAGTATCCAGTACCCATGATTAACCATGAGGTCCAGTAAGTGACTCTCCGGGGCTCTCGTCCGACGTCATTGCCAACTTCCACCTCGACTCTCCAGCGCTGCTCGTCAGTCCTCCAGTCGGCCGCCAAGACTTTGTGCTTATACCGGATCTTCTTATCAATGTCGAACTTTTGCACCGTCTCCTTCAGATAGCCCATGATGGTCTCTCCTCTTGCAATGGGCTCCTTTTTGCGCCAGGGATTGAATTGGAAGCCTAGCGTGTGCAGGTCCGAGTCGGAGCGCACACCGGGATACCTGAACTGCGACCATGTTCCACCGAGTTCATGGCGTGCCTCGAGGATAGTAAACTTGACGTCTGGCAACGACTCTTGTATGCGGTAGGCGGCGTTGATACCGCTGATTCCGCCTCCAATAATCAACACATCAAAGTACGAGTCGATCATGGCGGGTAGCAAATGTGATGTGGTGGTGTGACGTGCGACACGGACGGGTGAACAAGTACGGGGAAAGGCGGATTACAAGGCCAGATATATGTAGTGTCGTCGGGCGGTGAGACCAGCCGACATTAACATGTGTACAAAGGGGACCCCGTCTCCACAGCTTGGTAGATAGGCTTTGTCAATGGCTCCAGACTAAAACTGAGCAGATGCGGCGACCGAGCTCAAAATTGCTGTAATGCCGTCACCCCTGTACTGTGGCTGTGACGTTGGCTGGCATAATTACACAGTAACAATCTAACTGATTCGGGCAGGCATACATATCGGCTTCGGATGTTCGGACTGGAGCTTCGCTAATGTCTCCATTGTGCAAAAGCAACCTCACTCCTCGGCGCCCGAATAAACCTCTGCCTTCGTCGCCACCAGGATAACTAGATGCCGCAGTCTGAATGTATGATTGTGTTAGTTCTCATCTTACCAGCCCAAACAAAGGCACAAACAAGATTGAACACAGTCTCGCAAGTCTGGTTCAAGCAACCCAATTTATGAGGGGTTGTAATTATCATATCATACCGTATCGTTACAATGGCTATGGTCCTCATCCCCACATGCATATGGTGAGACGCCTGCGCCACACCCAGCGCGCCCCGCACCGCGCGCCCCACCCACGAGGCACAGCCAGCTCCAGCTCGATGTGATTGGGGCGGGCAACTTTTTTTTTTACGCCATGTACTCGAATACATCGCATTGGAGACACAGGCGAATGAAAGACGTCATTTCTCTCTTTTTGCGCCGAGGCAAATTGTCTAGGGACAAGTCGTGGTTCCAGTCTGCGGTTTGAATGGTGCGCGCACCTTACTGCAAACAGCCTACGCCCGCATGTTGGCGAGCTCCGGCGCGGGCTCTCGCTTCCGCTGGTACTGTATGTGATTGGGTATTGCGTGTTGATGGGCTTTTGCTACCGCAATCTGGGCCGGATGTGTGTGCGTAGATGCGGTGATGTGCTAGTATGGCACCATGGACACGCAGTGGCGTCTTGTCAAGCTCAGGAGGATCCCCCACTAGTCGGACAAAGGCATCGCAGACTCAAGACTTCCGATGGCCGACTGCCTCGGTATGATTTTGTGACCATGCGACAGCCCTGATCTAGCCAACGACTGCCATGTACTACACTACATTCACATGTCTCTCGCAACACTTGCTTTGGCAGGTTAGCGTACATACACACACGCATATACGGGGAGATAGAATAACACTGAAGGTGGTATCATTCGATTAACGAGAATAAAGCACTCTATTATGCATCTAGCTCAAGCAAAACCCTGCCCGCTACAAACTCAAATCTCTATAGCGTCTGCTTTCCTCTTGTCTCAATCGGCAAGACCAACATACTGAAGAACGCCGCGATGAACAGCCCACCACTTGCGTAGATGGGCGCCTTGGGGCTACCGCTGCTAGCGAAAATGGCGACAATGGGAGCGCACAGTCCAGCAACTCGGTTCAAGAAACTGCTGATACCAGTGCCAGTGCCGCGGATCGGGCCAGGGAAAACCTCGGGAGTGTATGCGTACAGTACGCCATACATGATGTTCTGGAAAAAGGCTTCCAAGCAAGTAAAAGCAAGTTGAAAGTCCGAGTCACTCGAGATGGTAAACAGGAAGACAAAGACACCAGTGATGACGGTCGCAATGGCCATCGTTCCCTTGCGGCCCAGGAACTTCATCTCGACAGCATAGCATGCCAAGAACGATCCAGGAACACCGACGATGGCAGTAATGGCATAGTTGCGGTACACGGTGCTCACGTCGTTTTCTACTTCGCCTCCAGAGTTGGCCAGGTATTGCGGCAGGAAGGCGTTGAACAGCGGATAGGCCATGCCAATGGTAGTCCATTGGAACCACAAGAGCACAGTGGTCAATCCGAGTTTCTTATCCTGGAAGAGGATCTTAAAGCGGGCAAAGGAAAAGCGGCTGATGGACCGCTTGATGATTTCAAAGCTGCTGAGTTTGGCATCCTCGCCAGTCACTTCCTGGTCGCCTCCAATGTAGTTGAGGATGTCTTCGGTAAGCCAGGTGTGCGTCTTATTGCAATACGCGATTCCGTAGACGGTGGCTACAGCCTCGGCCTGGCGACCACGTGACAGCAAGAACTTGGGCGACTCGTAGAGATGGAAGAAGAAGAAACGCGAGATGAACATGACGAAGGTGATGGCTCCAAGTGTCAGGATGAGGTATCTCCACCCCATGTTGTCTGACATTTTACACTGTCCAGCAGGAGTGCCGGCAGCACAGGAAAAGTTGGGAATGAATGCCCATGCGACTAGAACGGATTAGCACTGTACACTAACCAGTAGTGTGCTCGACTTACGCAGCGAGGCAATCAAGTTACCAATAGGCCAGAAGACGGAAAGCAATGTCAATAAGTTTCCAGATGTTTGTGGGAGAAACTCCAGGAAGAGTGCTCCGTCAACAGGAAGATTGCCACCGACACCGAGTCCGATACAGGCGTAGAGCGCGCATGTGCCGATCCAGTTAGGACCACCACCTGAGGCGAGACCAAAGGCACCGGCAAGGAACAGCGTAAAGTTGAAAGCAACACGGCGGCCGATAATGTCCGACGCAGTACCCCAGAATGATGCACCGATGCAGAGACCGAGGAAGAGCGCTAGGGTGGTATATCGAACTTCACTCTCACTGACACCAAACTCAACCGAGAGTTGTGGTAGCGTGAGTGCAACACCCTTCATACTGGTAAGCCACGACAACTGCAAAATTGTTATAATGTACGTACCTGCAACCACAGGTTGTCTGCCATCCATCCGCATCCAGCCAGGATAAAAAGCTTCCATTGGTAGCGGCCCATGCCCATATCGCCCAGGGCCCGGTTGATGACCTTGGACTTGCCTACAAGAGTTTAGTAAGTATTGATCATTCCACAACTGCTAACAAATCTGGCAGTTGAAATTAGCTTAACGTACGGTCATATGGGGTGTCGGTGCCCGAGGCGGCGACATCTGCTTCGATTTCTGCTTTGAGGGCTGCAAGAGTCATTCCATGGTTAACAACACCACTTGATGCATCACTTTCGGGGCGCGCAGGTTTATCGTCTTTGGAGCTTTTTTCAGAGGGCGCAGGGGAGTTGCTCTGGCGGGAGTGGGGAGTGGGGCCGCTGGGGACTGATTCTTCAAGAGGCACATGGACGCCGGGGAATTCATCCACACTGTGCGTCTTGAAGGGGTTTATAAACATTGTTCGAGGCATGTTGATGTAGTGAGAGTGCTGCTTGGAGGATCAATGGTCGTGAAGGAGTAGTTGCTTGGGTTTGGCGCAATGGTATTGAGGGTTGGCAGCAATGGGGCAGTCGCAACTGGGATGATCGTGCTCTGGGTCGTCGTTACCTCACCAAAGAGGTCGAGTCGTGGAGTTGCTGGGATTCGGTGGTGGTGGTAGTGGTAGTGGTGGTGTTGGCGTGTGGATAGTGGCGTATGTTGATCCTTCACGGTGGCTTCACCCAAGCATAGGATGCTGGAGGCTTGTGAGGCTTGGAAATGCTTGTGTATTTGTATGGCAAGCTTCCACAACAGCGAGGCCGTGGGGAGTAAGGGGAAGAGTATCGAGTAAACTCCATCTCATGCGTGGAGAAGTGGCCCTCATATACCATTGCGAAGACCCTGGTGCCTGGCCTAAGTCAGAAATCTTTTACAATAGACGCAGGAAGTGGAGAGTCTTCGGTGAATTGCGCCAAGGAGGCGGCTCTCAGCGCGCGCCATGACATCATACCTGGTGGGTCCAACACCGAGCCATCACGTTTCTCTGCCCTTGAGTGCAAAGATCAGCCAACCCTGCAGCTGTCTTTCGCTGCGCCAGTTTAGTCGGCCGTTTAGCGGGCACATCGTTCTCGGTGCCCATGAGCCCTACGTAGGTTGAACAGAAAGCGGACACACCGTCTCGTGTCCCCTGGGGTGTCCGCCCGTCACCTCATGCGCAATGACAACACCTTGACACACACACAGTACGCTCCATGGTTCGCCAATGCGTGTCCGCAATACATAGAAGAAGACGCAATCAGTCGCTCTCGAGTGAGTTCAGATGGCATCATATCATATCGTATCCAGCTTTGTTCCAGTACGTGAGATTGATCTGTGGCGGCTCCAGAAAATTTTGCCGCGTTCCGAAACGCGACTAACAGTATTCGTTACGTTTTCGTTGCTCTGGCTTCGCACACGCGAAAAGGGCAAGGAAACCGTCCAACTCCACTTGGAAGTGCCGACAGGCGTGTGCCATCAATCTAACCGTGTACCGTGGGTAAGCGCGGGGTGAGTGGTGCTCCTTCAACGCCTGTCTCCATAAGGTATGCCATTCCTGGGGCCGACTCCAGTTCCCCGGGCAGGCCCGAAGTTCAATCTTGAGATGAGATCGACATACAAGTGTCCGGTGCCCTCAGTAAATTTTCAGGGAAAAAAGCCCGGGGGCACTGTTTCGCCGTTGGGGTCGTTGCCGCTGGTCATGACGGTAGAGGAAAGCAGACCCTTTGACCCCACAGCCATCGCACGCCTTCATTTCTGGCTTTCGACAAATCAGAAATTAGAGCCAAGCCGGAGCGAGATTGCCATGTGGATCTACGTAGCACAGTAGTCTAGGGATGTTGTATCGATCGAAAGCAAAAGCAATATCACGCGACGTCCCGCCCCGGGTGACCCCGATCCATGTATACACATAGACAGTACTTTGGCAATGTTGTATCGTAAACTGACTCTACGGAAAAACAGTCGCTCTCAAAAAATGGGTCTTTATTGGAATTCGCCATATAGTTCATTGATGTTGCAAAGTAAATTAAAGGCAAATCAATGGACCAATTGAAAGTGAGACCTGCTGCCAGAAACACTTGGCAGGTATCCGCTTCACACGATAACTAGATGTACCACGATAATCAGATGTAACTGAGGATATAAGACCGCCCAAGCCCTTATAAATATGCAAATTAACGCACAAGTGCTCGTGTGACAGTAGACCAACTCAACTCAGCATGCTGTGCTACTCGCTTTGGCTAATTCATCCATCGCCTTGTTCCCGAAACAGCCATACTAAGTATTTACACACAAGTTCCCCCAATATCCATAGCATTCCTTCCATAAAAAGTGTTGTTACGTCAGGAATGGCCCCTCGGGGTCCCATTGCGCTCCCTCGCCTGGGCTCCGCGGCAGTCGCAATAGTATTAAAACCTGGCGTACCCCGGGCACCTCCGCGTGTCTTGAAACGTGAAAGTTCCAGATCAACTACTGTTATATGCTGCACTATTTCAGTGTTGAAAGGAAGCCTTGCTGTTAGCTTAATCAACTGGGTCCCTCCAATCGCGACGCCACCTTCACACCCCTGCTCGACTTCCACAGTCCCCGTGGCCCCCAACCGTCTTACCCTCCTCCATCTCACTATCGAAAGAGATCTCATCGCCATCAAAGAATTAACCACCGCCTATCCTGCAGCAAAAGATTGCCTCACTCTACAGAACGATGCCCTGACCTGACCATGTCAACCTCTTGCAACACCGCATTCGCGTTTTAAACAATGGAAACGAACACGCGCACAGATGCATTGGTCAACATACATGGCTGCATCTTTTCTCGACGCGACTACCCAGGCCATCGACACATCGGCAACGTCGAAAGTGAATGCGACCAAGATAAGACCGATAACAATAGTCGCAACGCGCAACAATCTTCACGGAGGATGCAACAAGTCGCACGTCTAGACTAAACGCACGTCTAAACTAGACGCACATACTAGAGAGACGACTAAGGCCATACGTTCTAGCTACGCAAATCCGAAATAACAAACAGTTGGCGTCTTGCCCTCCGTGTCCGTCTTCGGTTCCGATAACATGCCCCCATCTCAAACTCGGGTTGCTGCTACACCCACATCATAACGAGGAAGGAACGCACGAGGCCCAGCGTTCTCGGTTCAAAATGAATTCCGCACTATCGCAAGGGAGATGAGCGCGATGCGTCACCATCTTTCTCAACAAACCCGACCGTAAATAGGACGGACAAAGAAAAGGCAATGTCAAATGCTGGGGAAGGAGTGGTGCAGCTGCCGCCTTCTGTCATTGGCCTGGCAAACTCAGCCGACTGGGCGGTGTGGATGTGGCAAACGCAGTGATTGGACGGATTCGTGTCCCGGTCAAATTCGGGAACCGCATCAACATAAGACGAGGTACCTGTCACCTTTCTATCTATCTGTTCCGCCCCCCATACTTTCAGAGCCACAAGTGTGCGAGTGAGGTGAGTACAGCAGTCTTTTCATCCATGGCGCATTCAAGGAAGTATGTGAGTGTCAGCTGCGCCGATATTGTCAACGGCTGCATCAGCGCAATTCGCCACAATTTCATCCTTTATTGCGACGACTACTAAGCTTTCTCTTTAGGCTCATGGTTATCGCAGCTTAAAAGTCTATTTGTTTACAAAGGCGCCAATACACGATTCCCCGTTGCTGGATGCGCACCACCTTCACAACACCCTCTTTCCCATCTGTTTTGGCACAGAGCTTTATTTTCTTTCAAGCCTTTATTTCCCAAACGCTGCACTAGTCGATTGATATTGTTAGTCTTGAGGACCCTGCCCAGTCGTGTCCGAAGTACCGTGTGCTCCGTTGTGTGCATATGCATTGAGATGCAAATCATGCCAAGCCCATATCTGCTCCATACCACCTATATCAACGGCATTAGGATCACCGACGCTGCCGAACGGATTTTGCGCTAGGAATTGATCAATGTCGAATGAAAGGGCATCCGAGATGGGCATCGTTGTGAGGGACCCGGTTGCAGGAACCGAAGACTGGGCAATTGCGTCCGAAATTGGAGGTGGCCGATACGGTAATGGCAACCCTGGTGGACGCGTCATGGCCACCGGCGCCGGCTCGTGAGCCGGCGGTGATCTCTTGGGCACAGGGATACCATCTTGCTTCTGTCGCTTGTCGATAGGCAAGTGCCGCCGAAGCGAAGGCGTTGCCTGCACGAGTTTGAAGAGAAAGTTGTACGAAGTTGCGCCTAGTTTCGTGGACAAGCTGAGCTGATACAACCTATCGAGCGAACTATCAATAACGTCCATGACCTCATCGCGATGAGGTAGCATATGTTCGTGGTCATGGATAATGGCAGAACAAAGTAAGGTCGCAGTATCGAAAATGCAGAAAACGACCGTATGGAATTTCGCGTTAATCGGAAACTCATGATCAAACAGCTTGCGCGCAACCTCAAGCAGACGGAGCGCAATCTCGATCCCCTTCTTTCGAAACTCGTCGTCCTGGTCGCTGAGCTTGTCTTCTCGCTCGCGCGTCAGATATGTCTTGAAGAAATCGAGCATTGTCAAAAAGATGACGCAGTGTAGTTGGTGTCGTTGGAACACAAAGTATGGATGTGCCTTGTCGAACGAGGTATCAGGGTTCTCAACACGAAAAATCGCGGGCAGTTCGTCGATGAACTTATGACACTCGTCTTCAATCTCCAAGACCTTCTCAGCAGAAAGATCATCTTTGGACGTTGCGTCACCCATCACAGTTGCCACTCTTCGCCCCAGGTGTGCTTGCAGAGCCATGTGTGCGAAAGGTGAAAGAATATTCGGTTCTGTGTTCGATTGGTCGAGCCGCAGGTTGGGAAATTTGAAAGAAAGATTCTTTTGGTTGATGAGGTTTGGTCGACCTAACCACGCTGACATCTGCCTGACGGACTTTAGTAACCGAATCGTTCCATCACATCTCCTTACTCACCAATCCCATATGTAAAGAAGAGTCCAGATTCGCCTTCTAATTTCTATATCAAACTCCGACAAGTCATCAATACCCGCATCCCTATCGATACCCAATTCTTGCGCCTCCCGAATAGTACGTGAAAGAGTATGCCACGATTCGACAATCTTCGATTCCGATTTTAGCCAGGCGCACTTCAGGAACTGCTCCTCTACCCGCTCAATACTTGTCCTCGATGCTTCAAAGCTCCGGCTAAGTTCCTCTGCCGCGGCCGAGAAACGTTCAGTGAGCGTTTGTGAAGTGCATGCCAGCTCGAACTCAATCATCTTGCGAAGCGACGGTGTCAGATATTGTACAGAGTATGCACATATCCGTAAGAGCAGGCATGTGAACTCTGGGGAAAGCTGTTTGGCGGCACTGCGATCGGCCCACCACTGAACATATTGTTCCGCCAACGATGGCCCGTATATTGCACTGTAGCGGTAATTTACCGTGTTCAAGAAGTGGTTGACAATGGCGTCTGCATTCAGTCAGCAGTGCTGTGAACATGGTAATACTTGAACATACCAGTTATGGATCTCGGAGGAACAGCATGTAGCACCTTCTGCACAGCGTCGCTTGCTATGATTTGTGCTGGAGAATGCTTAGGCGAGCTCTGCGAGAAATACTGGTTAGCATGGCTTTTCTATCGAGGCGAGCAACTGACATTGTCTTCATTACTCTGAACCTTGTAATGAACATGACCTGGCATGTACCCCCACACCTTCAGCCCATCCTCAAGTACCTCATGCTCGCTGTTTTGTTTGACAAAATGCGACTTTGCGGAATCCGGGGCACTTCTCTTGATGCCTTGGGTGTTGCTGGACGAACTTGCTCTGTAAGATTGCTGTCACCGCCAGATTCGGCCAATCGAGGGGTGGAGGAACGAAGGATCAACATACCGTGCAGATTCAGGCGAAGACTCTTGCTGAGCTCGTTTTACAGAGAACTGACATAGCTGTGGCACCTTCCTCGCCTGGCAATGGTTGCAGGGCCACTCTCGCGAACACTAGCCCTGCCGTTAGTCCACGGCGTTCGATGCAGGGTTGGTCTGGGGTATGAGATTCAGACCTTTTGCTTCCGACGCTGGCACTCCGTGCACGACATTGTCGCACGGTTCTCTTTCTGCAGCTGCATTCTTCAGCAACTACGTTACATGGGAGAAAAAACAGCGCAACTGATGCTCCCCGAAAGCCCTGATGAAAACACTTCGATACTCAGACGAGCACTTTGGTGTTGTTGACGTTACAAGCCAAGTCTTCAACATCATCCCCACCAAACCCACCCGGAGCCGCTCCGCCACCTCCGTGGGCCGGCCGTCTCAGATCCAGATTTCTTGTCCCTAACTCCTCAGCCAATCACGTGTACAGTTGTGGCAAATGCCTTTTCCTTCGACAAGCTTTCCGATGCGCCTGACAACGTCGCAATTCCAAATCTACCACCACTTTGAATGTAGCTGGCTGCCCGAAAAGACATGCACACCAGAGATTACTGTTCCCGCAAAGATTTTCTTATACACCTCGATGTTGGGCACTGTGGCTTGCCTGTCATATGCATCGTATCCATATAGATTTTTGCCGATCAGCTGAGTCATGCCGTCCGGCATCAGCGCTCGCCGAATGCACTCATCGAGGCATTAATGACTATTTCATTTGACAACTACCGCCAACCTTGCCGAAGGACCTTCCTGTTTGGTAACAAATCAGAGGGAAAGCTATCCCATCTTGGCAGTGTATCCAGACCATGTGTCTTGATGAATGACTACTGGAAATGTACGTAAAAGGATGATATCCAACACGCGAAAGGGGAACGCGTCGCATCAGTGCACGGGCACCAACCAGGTAAAGACAAGAGTTCTCTGCGCCTTGCGAACCTTTTGCTTTTTTTGCTTTTCGATCAGAATTTTTGTTGAACACATGTATCATTTTGTAAACAGGATAAGTGTCATGTCATTTTTTCTCCTTTGATTCCAAGCAGATCTTTGCTCTGTACAGTGACAAGGGTGAGGGAGGGGGCGGGCAAGCCCCAAGCCATACCGGCTCCTACAGGATCTCAGCTGAAGAAGCTGAGATGAAGCCGCCAAGACTCGAGATAGAATTTGAGCCAATTAACCCAATCCTACATACATATGTGCAGGGTTTTCTCGCCACGCTGGCTTGTAATGCAGCCCTTGGCACATATAGTAGCACACACACGAGTTGCAAGTCAATAGTTTTGCTGACATTAAAAACATTTCAAAAAGGGTAATTATTATATCATTTTTCAACGTATACAGCATAACAGCGACTTGTTTCTCCGTGGAGGTTGTGTGTTTCTGTGTTTTGCTTTTCTACTACTTTTCGAAAAACATCTTTTGAACGAAAGGAAAAAAAAAAGTATAGTAAAACAAATTTATACGTCAGACCAAAGTTCCGCACATGCGTGATGCCCGACGACCTCAAGCCTTGGGCTGCTCAGCCTCATCGCTGGTCCTGGTGATTTTGCGAGCGTGCTCCTCGCCCGTGATGCTCTCATCACCCATATCCCAGTCCTGGGCCAGATCCTCGAGCGTCCTGCGCTTGGTTTCTGGGATAAGTAGGGTGGTGAAGATACCAGCAAACATGAAGGCAGAAAAGATCTGCATGACGTGGTTGAGCCACGGGCTGGGGTTGGCCTTTGTAGGGTGGCCTCGTGTTCGCAGCGGGGCAATGGCGCCCTGGGCGATGATGGAACCAATCTTTCCTGAGCCGGCGGAGATACCGTGGGAGGTAGAGCGGTAGCGGGTAGGGAAGCACTCTCCGGGAACAATGAAGGTGGTTGTGTTGGGTCCCCAGTTGAAGAAGAGCTGGATGAGGACGTAGATGGCAAGCATAGCGTGGTTGCTGAGGTGCTTGTAGGCGAAACCCTGGGAGAATGTTAGCTGTGATGCTCTTTTTTTTTGCAATTCATGTGTTCTTTGTGAACGTACCCAGATGACAAAGAGAATAGTGAGAAGAGTAAAGCCGATGAGTTGAAGGGGCTTGCGACCAACAGTGTCAATGGTTGCGACAGCCATCCAGTAACCTGGAATAGCACCGGCGCAGATAAGAATGGCATTACCAGCAGCAAGGTTGTAGAGCTTGTGGTACAAGTTTTCACCGCTGGCGTAGCCAATAGCCTGCAACACAGTCGAAGAGTTCAAACCGAGGCCATAAAAGGCGACATCAAGAAGGAGCCATGACATGGCAGTTCCAAAGAGAATCTTGCCGTTGCGAAGCTTTCCGTAGAACCTGAAGAAGTCCTTGAAAGAAGCCTTGGGAACCTCGAGCTGGGCAGCGGACTGACGGCGAGCAGTAACCTGAGTGATCTCATCGACGTTGCCCTCACCGTGCTTGCCAGAAAGATATTGCTTAGCATCCTCATTTGCCTTTTCGACATCACGAGCGACATCGAAGGTGTAGCGAGGCGTCTCTGGGATGGTGAGGCGGTAGTAGAGGGCAATGCAGGCAGGAACGATACCGAGACCGATGAGAGCCCGCCACATCTGATCAACAGCGACCTGGCAGTCACCAGTGCAGGTGTCATATCCACTGGCCTTGACAAGCTTGCTCTTAAAGCCGGAAACGAGGCACAACATGACGAGAGCACCACCAAGCTGACCGAAACCCTGCATGGCGAAGACAGCACCCATCATAGCACCACGCCACTTGGTAGTAGCAAACTCGGAAGTGATAATGGAAGATAGCGGGTAGTCACCACCGATGCCTTGGTACCGGTTAGTAGTGAAGGATGAAAATTACACAAAAAAACGTACCGATGCCCATGAGCACACGCCAGAAGATGATGAGACCAACAACTGAAGTTCCTGGACCAGGACCAACCAGAGATTGTGCGAGAGTTGCAACAATGATGAGGATGAGCTCAAGACCATACATTTTCTTACGGCCAACGATATCAGCAAGCGCACCGAAGCCAACTTGTCCAATGACGGTGCCAGCCGAAGTAGCCAGCTTGATGGCAGTATCTTGCTGGGTCAAAAGAGTACCCTTGTGGTCCTGCTTGTAGACGATACCCAGCATGATGGTCAAGAGGGATACACAGAAAATGTCGTAACTGTCTGTGAAGAAACCAGTACCAGCGACCAGAATGGCGCGTACATGGTACCAGCCGAAGGGAGCCTTGTCGATCTCGGCGAGAGCAAGACGTCGGCGCTCATTTGGGTCTTCGATATGCTACTTCAGGTCAATGTCTTGCTGGGAAAGGAGTTTGGCATGTAGTAGTGGGTGTACGAACAGCAAAGTCACTGTGAAGATTGTTAGTAAGAGAAGCATTTAAAAGGGGGAGGATATGCAGGAGGCGTACTTGTTGAAGTTGTGGAAGGCGGAATTTCCGCCAGCCGTCTTAGCAGCCATATTGAAGTCTTAGCAAGTGCTTATGCTGGCCTTGACGAAGCTTGGTACCGCAAAAGACGGGTGAGCAAGATGAGGGCTGCTTGCCAAAACAACCGGGCCAAGCCTTGTACTTATACCCAAGCTCTCTTGTGAGGATGCGCGGCATGCTTATGTTTTGAAGTGAGCACTAGACGGCAGCCAATCTCAGCGTCAGATTGAAGCACGCGCGGAAGGTTTGCCAAGAGGCCCTCGGGCATGCCGCTGCAAAAGGCGAGAGAAAACGCCATTATGCAAATCCAGGCCCTGGCATGGCACTCGGTGTCAGTGAATGGCGCAGCCGCTGAGGCGTTTTCTGGGATTCCTGTATCCTGGGAGTTGAGCCGGTGGGGTGAGGGCGTGTGGGCCATGGATGTTGTAGTCCATTCATTTCCCCACGTGGCCGCTAGTGAGGCTTGACCAGAACCCTTTCTCCAACCACGATGCCTTTGCCACAACATGGAGCGGAGGCTTATTTGCAGCCCAGGCCTGCGACAAGGAAGCTTCGGGCTATTGGCGTTTGCTTGAGACGTAGCCATGACATGCTTAGCATCCCGGATTGTCTAATAATGCGTGTTTCGTCAATGGCGCATCTCATCAATGCCAATCCCACCTTGTCCTTCTCGATCTACTGCACGGCTCTCTGATGCTGTAACAAGATCAATGACCCAGCCAAGCTCACTCTTTTGTGGATAAGGCAGTCTGGCCTCCTCAGGGTTGCCTGTGGGACTCGCATATCTAGCGGATTAAGAAGTAATAACCTTTACTGCCCCACGTCCCGGTATGTTGGTCCCACGGGTCCGGCTATCGTCTCCTAATTGGATGCTGCCAAGATGTCCTTGGCAAGGTGGGCCGTCTGCGCCGGAGTATTCCTCCATCAGGGTAGCAGCGCGGCATCATGCTGCACTTCTCGAATGTCTGGCATGAAATGCTATTGGGGTTTGGAAAAGCATGAGGGCCTTACGTACGCAGTAGCATGTTCCACAAATATCGTGCCCAATCACGCTGCAGCACGTGGGATCCAGCTGAGTTACCGATTGTCTGAATGTGCCGTAGTATCACACGACAGCTGACGGTATTGCCCATCACCTCTGTGGAAGCATGTCTTCCGAAGCTGCAATAGTCTAGCTCATGCAATCACACACCCGGGAACCAAGTTGATGGGCTTGTCACCTTTTTAGCTGCCGCCAATGAGCCGCTCAGAGTGTGGCCGTATCCAGGTATCGGTGTCTGATCGATGGGCTTTCCCCTCTCACTTCGTCGCCTCCAAATGCTCTTGAAAAATATTTCACCGTGGAAACACCAGACTTTCGGCCTCCACCTTTTCGTCTTTATTCGTTCAAGATGTCTTAGTAAGGGAGAGCCTCCAAGTAGTCAGCATGTACGCTTATAAGTCCATTTTCTTTTTTACTGGTCAGCCTAGTGAGGGTCGAGAACATAGTGTTGTCTTCTTTTTCGATATGTTTCCCAAATAAACAGTCGTGTTTCATATGGGCCATGTTGACTCACATGTCTGCTCTTCGAGCCTAAAAGAGAAGAATATCGAACTCTTCTTTTGACAAAGTTCCTACAAACGCGTCATCCCCCCGCAAAGTTTAGCTTCTCAGTGTTCCGTTTCCCCGTGTCTCCGTTCCGAATCTCAATAACCCAGGCTGATGAGGCATTTATCGGAGCACAGGGTAGACGATTTTATCACTTGAGTGCAGCCGTATACAGAGCCTTCGAGCCCAAAGGCCACCCCTTTCGTGACATACCTCGGCGCTTCTGATGTTTCAAGAGCTTGCTCTGAGTATGTCGAGTGGGGGTGGTGGACTATTAGTGCGCCAGTTTGTAATCAAATCGCCTGTAATAGGTTTAGACAAGACGCGCAATGATCGAGATAACATCGGCTACCTCTATGATCACGATGAAATCAGATGGAGTGAAGTGAAGCGAAGTTTACCGGACTATCGAGAACGCTTGTTCTCTTTGTAAATTGGGCCGCATATGAGTTCTTGCCTTGATTCGCTGTGGCGTACGCGACATTTGCGCTGAAGAGAAAAAGGAAATGAACTGATGCCAGTGTCGTTGATCAGGGTTGATTAACAAGCAGTGTGTGGCGTTATTGTGGCATGCGTGCAGCATGCCTTCCCATCTGACCCCACCTTCCCAATCTAATGAGGCACCCGACTCTTTCACTTCCGAGTATGTCCGCTTCTTCACTCACCATTAATGCAAAGTATCACCCACATACAACGGTTTTAATTTTCAAAGTAAGAATCAAAACTTCACTCATCTTGACAATGAAGCTCTGCTGCTTGAGCACGAGCTGCCTAAGAAGTAAGACCTCGAACACTTTTGTCACTAACGGCAGTCCCATCTCGCTTACTCCCTTGCCAACATAACAACCTCGCCTTCCACCGAACTGTCACTACTAACATACACTCTCCCCAACCTATCCACAGCCAGGCCCACAGGTCGAAAACAGCTCGTCTTGGAACACGTATCCACACGCTCGTTCCACAAGACATCATCCCACGCCTTAGTAGCGTTACTCTTTCTTGTTGGACCAAAGCTTCCATTTACCTGCCCAAATGGCACCTGGATGACTTTGAATCCTACAGCTGGATCACGATTCCAACTCCCGTGAAGAGTGATGTACAGAGCAGAGAAGTCTGTGTTGAACTTTGCATCGAGCGGTGTCGAATGTGCAGGTAGCGCAACTTGAGGAGCTATACTGCGCTCTTTGCATGTGGTATCGGTGAAGGTAGCATTGGGCTCCAATACAAACTGGTCGCCCGCTGTAAAGTTTCCCCCGGGGATGGTTGAGGGAGAGAAGACAGTGAAGCAGGTAGGATAACCGTACCAGTCCCTATTTTCCCTGGATGAGTCGCCGATGTAGTTCAGCTCGTCGGCGGGGTTATCGTTGTGGATGTCGGTCGAGATACCGTTGATGGTGCGGTGCAGTTCGTCTGCAGAGTTTTCAACGCCCCAGAGGTGCGATGCTGCGTCAAAGGCGAGGCCGACTTCGTTACGAAGGCCGTAGCCAAGCTGAGTTCCAGAACTGACATAGTCATAGCCATTGGGAGGTATGGCTGTCATGTTGAAGACTTTGATACAAGCGCGCCCGGTTTTGACATCAATGGAGCCATAGTCGATGTTGCCGTTTGAGCCATGCGAAACGAGTAATAGGTTTGGATATTTCGGTGGGATACTGAGAGACCGTGTGACGTGGCCTTTGGTATCCATACCTGTTACCATAATCGTCGAGTTCCCTGATACACTCATTGTCGCTGCATCATATACCCAAGCAAAGACCGAGGTCGCAGAACTGGCATACAATATCTTACCGTCCTGGCTGAACACAATACCGTGATTGAGATCCCGCTGTGCGATTACCATCTTGGAAGGCTCCAGGCACCCATTTGCCAACATCCTATGCGCACTGATGCCAAGTCCATTTTGGACCACCAGGAGATTACCAGCACCATCGAAGGTGAGTCCTCGCGGTTGTGCCAGACCTCCCGCAACCTTTGTGGCTCTCCATCCTTTGGCGGCGTTCACAGGAAATGCGAGATTGGGGACACCGTTGCAAGGTGTAGATATGTTGGTGCTTTGCCCGTATCCTGTATTTAGTTTAGATTTTGTAATAAGCTGGTGAGGTTGGATCGCATACCGATGCTTGGAAAGATTGCTAGCCCTAGTTTGAATATTTTCATGATAGATGACGGAGTGTTCGCTTTTAGGACGTTAGTCTTTCGCAGGTAATTCTAGATATTTGTGAACTTCTGTCTTTCGTGCGAATGGTTAACCGTATATCTGTCCTGTTCCTGGATTCGGTCGAAGATTCATGGGTGATAGTTACACTCAGCATGAGGGGCAGGGAAATGTGCACTATATCCACAGATCCTGCTTCATCTCATCCGTATTATCCAGTGAATTATTATTTCATCATCCCTTGTAGAGTGTAGAATGATATGCGGATCATGAATGTGGAGGTTGTGGGGCGGAAGGTGTTATGTCTGCCGAACATGTAGTTCGTTGCCGCAGCTGGGATATGTTTCCAAGAAGAAAGTAGTTCATTATTTTTTCTGTAAAGAAATAACATTCTCGAGGTTACGTCTCTTTCGAATGGTCATTCATCATGCCCTAAGTCATATCCCAGGACAAGTATCATAGTGACTCGGGTAGTGAGTCCCAGAGACGCCCCCACATTAACGATAGAGAACTCTGGATTATTGTGATCTAGAAAGTGGGAATTGTGACGAAAACGTAGTTGCCGGTATTCATATCGTGTACTATTGCAGGGTATTTGGCAAAATAGGTGATACATGGCTGGTTAAATGAAGCAGCAACTTTAGCCTTGGGAAATGAGTGGTATCTGGGTGATGAGAACAGCCGTTTCGCTGTAGACGTATGGTTTCATACTGCCAAGTTGATTGTGATCCAAAAGGCGAGGATCATTATTACTCCAGTGGGGCAATTGTGGAAGGCGAGTGTCGTAACGTGGGCAAAGATATCCATGTAGTATCCTTATCGTGCACACGTGACCTGTTAAAAGTATCTTTCCTCATGCATACATCAGAGCAATGATAGAGCTTTCTCGTTGTCACAGTCAATCATAAACGATCACCAACGCAATCTCATACGCTTTACCACGTCAGTCCTCAATAGGAAGTTGCTGAGAGCGAGTCAGAGACGATAAGCAATGGATGGATTGCGGCATGGGCTGTCTCCGCTTCCCCACGTTCTCCGCACTCTAGATACCGAGGCTTGAATCCCTCGACGCCACCAAGCTTGACTCTGTACATACCACGCGAACATGTCGCACTGCGAACGTCTCGTTGTCGAGCTCTTTGATTGTTCTTAGAAGCTGTCTCTGGATTACGGAGTAGTCCTACAGCCTCATTCTTATCGGCCTACCTGGCCATCTCCCACAATGGCACTGGGTCCTTACACCAACCTCCGCGTCGAACGCTACGACAGCGTTTTCGTCATTACGCTCGCCAAAGCACCCGAAAACCGCATCAATGTCGCTTTTGCGCAAGAAATAATACGCGCGCTACGTGATATCGAGAGCGAGCTTGGGCCCGACGCAGAAGGCTGTGTCATTACAAAGGGTGCGGACGAAAAGTTTTGGTGCACAGGTCTAGATCTGGACGAGAACGAGGCGAATCCGCATGCTAATACCGACGGCTTCTTCCCGCTACTAGCTACGCTACTCGACTATCCGTTCCCGACCATCGCACTGATCACAGGGCACACATTTGGCGGCGCATGCCCATTGGCATTGGCACATGATTATCGCATCATGAACTCGCAGCGCGGCTTCTTTTCTATGCCGCCAGTCAACCTAGGACTGCATTTCCCAGGCATTGGGTTCCTACCAAGGCTGAAACTCAGCCCGCAGGTTGCGCGCAAGATGCTGCTCGAGGCACATCGATGGACGGGCAAAGAAGCATACAAGGATGGCATAGTGGATGAAATTGCAGAACCAAAGGACATGCTGGACGTCGCATTGGCGAAGGCGAGAGAGATACAAGGTCGCGCCAAAATGGGCGTATACAGTCTGCTGAGAAATGAATTGTGGGGCGAGGCTGCTGAGAAGATTAGGAGTATCTGTTATGTACATGGGAGGAGAGTGACGCCGCCTGCAAAGGCAAAGATCTGACTTAGTACCCGTTGATACCTGCGCACGTCAGATATAAAGTCCATAGCCAATCAAAAGCACGGGGATTGAGCACGGTTTTGGCAAGTAAACATTCGTAAATGGTACTTAGTCTTATGTATTCTCATGACAATATGTACAGTTGAAAGTTCAAAATCTACATAGATACACCGGAAAGTTTAGGCCGGGCGACAGGTTTTCTAACCCTCAGCCACAAAATCCTTTCCTAGTAAGTAGGCTCAAGAGGAGGGTCGGCGTTCTTGACGAGCATCTGAACGTAGTCGTCGAACCAAGCACCAGCAACAGGCGCACCAGCCAGACCGCAGGCTCCGTCACTCTCACCACCAGGCTTGATCCAGACGATTGAGTCGACGTTGGTGTTGTTTGGTGCAGCTCCAGGGCGCAGTCCAAAGCCAGCAGGCGAAACATTGCACCACTCGCCCCACTCCTTGCGAGCACCGGGGAGGGCAACACGGCCCTGGTCGATGATGAAGTTGGTTGGCATGCCCTCAGCTGCCATTGCCGCTCCAAGAGAGGTAGCGTAGTGGCTCTCATCCCACGATGGAGACCATTCGGTGTAGTTCTCGCGGACCTTGGCGTTGAACGGGTTGTAGTTGGATACGTTGGTAGAGTAACCACGGATCTTGGCCGCTGGATTAATCTTCTTGGCCGCTGCGACAACTCTGGCGAAAATCTGGGCCGTGGGTTTCAGGTTGTCGGCCCATCCAAGCCAGCCTCCGTGGGCAGCATCCATGTATAGAGATACATTGGGGAACTGTAGCTTGGCAATGGCGTAAGCGATACCTTGCTCATAGATGGGGGTGGCGTTGGCGCAGAAAGGAACACCTTGGTTGGTGACGGCGTTACCGAGCGAGTCGGGCTCGAGGACAATGGCAAAGTCGAGATCCTTGGCCTCAGATACGAGCTGTGCGTACTTGTCGACGAATTCGTGCTTGTAGATGTTCAGGCCGTCTTTGGCGGAGCTGAGCTCTCCGGCAGACTCTCCAGCAGAGCAGTCACGGTCGGGGAGATTGTACAGGACAAGGCCGACAATCATCCTCTTTCGGCCCTTTCGTTGACGGCGGGCTTGCTGGATGGCTTCGGGGATTTGGCTAAGTCCAGCCCGCGATGTAACCCATACGAAGGTGGATGTCTTTTTGGCAACAGTGCGGGTTCGTGCTGCGTTCAGGGAATCGTTCTTTGAGAGGAAGGAAGCAATTGTTTGGTCGAGCTTCTTGCCGTAGCTCTCAACTACATAGCGGTCCTTGCCAGTCCATGGGTTGACAGTGGTGTTGCTGGGCTCTGGTTTGGGGAATGCGGTGGCGGCGCCAGCAAGGGCGGCAGTGGCCAAAACGAACTGTGTGACTTGAACCATGATTGATGAGAGCTTGAGAACAGATGGAAGACTCCTGTGTGTTTGCTGAGGAGTACAACGGATAGGTATCTCAAGCCTTTTATAGATTTAGTGATGGAATTTGGCGAGTTGCGCGTAACATGCATGTTGTCATGTGCTCCATCTCCAGATGTTTCCCTTAGTACAGACACTTACATTCAGGTGGCGGACTTGACGTTTGATAGCCGGTACCGTCGGGCCGCAATATGGAGGGCATTATTCCTGAATAGGTCCAAGCCTTGGTGTGAGTGAAGGCCTAGCTTTCGCGCTGTGACAGTCTAACGCTGCTAGTGCGCTTCATCACCTGGGAACACCTTTTAGCGAGAGTAGGGAATGGTTGTTTGCCCCGGAGCAGAACGTTTTCCCGCTATGGCATATTAGCCAAGATGGTATCGACCAGGGTAGGGTGCAGACATGCAGACCCGTAATATATTGCGCGGTTTACCCGGCCTGCTACACCACCTTCCGGTAACCCAACCACGTGGTTCTTTATAGATGTAATCATGAAATGGGCTTGCAGATTGGTCAATACTGTCAAACTAACATAGTTCATATTGTTCGGAGAGTGCTGCGCAGCTCTTGGGTCATTCCATTCTGCAGGCGACCATTGAAATGCAATGTAGAGAAGATTCGGTGCAGATTCTAGTGCATCAATGAGCGGCTGTACCCTGAGGCTGAGTTGGAGTGAGATGGCGCTATGCATGCGATGCAGGTACACCAAAGCCTGTTCGGACAAAAAAACACAAGGAGGCGACATCTTGCATAGCAGATCTACTAGGTGGGATATTCGAAAGACATGCGCCATACGAGCACACAAGCCCTTATCTCATTCACCTCCGCGTCTGAGATTTGCTCTGCGTATGGATGTATATGCATTATAGTATATCACGGCCTGCGATGCAAACCTCTCATAATACTTCTCGGAGGGCAACAAAGACCGTTCCGCAGCGGGTTGGTTCCGACAAAGCAATGAAAACTTTCATTGGTCCTCGTACCGCCACAGAACGGCAGCGTTGCAGGGCAACGGTGATACAAAGAAAAGATGATTGCATCGCCCCACCGTTGCAAAAAAGTGGGGAACCCCCATTCAGGACCGGTCAGAATCACGCTATTGACGAAAGAGGTGTCGGAGCGACTGTCTGGTGTCTTGGCTTAATATCGGGCGGTTTACGGGGCCCACTTTCTCGTCGCCCTTGTGAATAGCTGTCTCATGTTTCCTTGGGTGGCCAGCATTCCAGGAACATCATAATCAACCTTCCCCGCTGCGGTACAACATTGAATCTGTGAAACAAAGCATGCCGTTCATTTGGGGCCATAAGAACCATAAATTCTTTTTCAATAAAATTACCTGGCACTCAACCTTTCGAGAGCCAAGTCAGACTCTAGAGTCTTGGAAAACCGGTGCCATGGCTTATCATAAAAGAATTTCATTTCGAAAACCACCAGCGATCATATCGAAACTCATATTGCAAAGTTGAATTTGGCGTCACAACCATGAAAGCAGGAAATCTTCTCGATTTTACCGGAGCAAGACGATCCGTCCAAGGTACTCTCTGCTTGGGTATTCTTGGGAGAACTACTGTTCCGAGATACCCATTAAAGCCTTGCACGCCAATATACCCCTAATCATGATGTAGGAATGATCTGCTGAATTTCAG